AGCAAGAACATGATGTGAAAGGGCGATGCCTTACTGTTTACCACGGCGCCGACTGGCTCTCACACACGGACTCGCTCCCCTTCCCCCTTCAAGTACTAACTGACAATGAACAGCAAGAACATGATGTGAAAGGAAACAGACAGGTCTTCACACTCCTTAGGGCTGTTGCTAACACATGGACGTGGGCCGACCTCCCTCCCTCTGACTTCTTTTACAGCTGGGCAGATCTGGGTGTATTTCTGTGGTTCCATTTGATGTCACTATATTAAGATGAACTACAGGGTACACAATGTTCAAACAGCTGTCTGTTCCCTATGTAAGAAGTGCGGGCCCTGAGCAAGGGGTTCTTGAAACACATGGTGTATGTTTGGTGTTGTCGGAGTTAGGGGAAGTATCATAGAAATATCAACGTTTCTATTCCTTTTTATGTGAATACTGTATTGATCAAAACTCACAGATGTGGAATAATCTGATAGTTACTCGTTTTTGTGTGTATTTGTGTGTTATTTTTTTAATATATTTTTATTGACTTAAGAGAGGAAGGGGGAGGGAGAGAGATAGAAACATCAATGAGAGAGCATCATTGATCAGCTGCCTCCTGCACGCTCTCTACTGGGCATCGAGCCTGCAGCCCAGGCATGTGCCCTGACTGGGAATCAAACTGTAACTTCCTGGTTCGTAAGTCGACGCTCAACCACTGAGCCACGCCAGCCGGGCTGTATTTGTGTTTTAATTGTAGAGCAAGATGCTTACCTGATGTGCCCTTCACACCTGTTGACACAGATGTTTCTCAGCTCACCTGTCGTAGCCTGCGGAGTGCTTGTCAAGGATCAAACACTGGAAATAGAGAAGGCCAGGACTGTCCGTTTGCAACTCCGATTCTATCCCCAAGGGAGAGATACTTGATTTTGAGTGTGCTTATACTAAAAGCGGCTCTTCTCCCTCTAATATGGGGCATTCAGCATTAATGGCTTAACCACAAAAATGACCTTCTGCAGGATTCAGCTTCCGTATCCTAATATACGTTTTTTGTTAATGCTCATTCCTATTCATGCAATTTTAACAAAATTTAGATTTAGGACGTTTCTCCTTTTCCCTGTCTCTTTAATAGCTGTTGTAGGTGTCAAGTTCCTCCTATCAAACTGGCCCGATTACCTCTCACTCGCCGTGGAATTCATTTTCTCTAGCTTATCTCTCCTGAAACAAATTGGTAGCTTTGATGAGATGTTCAATAACAGGAAGAAATAAGCCCAAAGGCCCCTTGGCACAAAGAACTGATGCAATAAGATTAACTTAAACACTTGCAAGTGATAGCTTTTCTATACTGATTGATTGCAACAGTCACAGCGACACTGCAGCGAGCTGTCAGGAGAGCCAGTTGCACACAGTAGGTGTGTCGCTCTTGGACAATCAGCAGCCGAGTGTGTAAGAACGCTCTACAGGAGCGCTCCTATGTTCTGTGTCGTCCGACCATTTGTATCATCTTTTCTAACGTGTCTTTGGAAATGTACAGCCCTACTGACACTTTTCAGATATTGTTATCAAATGATCCACCCAGTTATGTAGCAAATAATACTCAGGTAGTCGTCTCTTTACTAAAGTTCTATGAAGCCATAAAAATAGAAGAATATACAAAACCTTAAAGGAAGATAAGTGAGGAAATTAATTCTTTCCGGGGCTGGAGCCAGTGTGTAGACGTGAGGGGGGAGGGGACTGTGGGCGGAGGAAACAGGTAGTGACGGCTGGTCTGGGAGGGACACACAGGTCAGTAGGCTAACCTGACTCCCTTCGTTAGACAGGGACCGATGTGGGCTGCCCGTCGTAGTTCATGTGTAGAGCGTACGTGTGGTCTGTTTCTTAACTATTTAGAACCAGCTGTGTGGCCACGCGTAATCACAGCATCATTGATCCCTCGGTGGGATCTCTGTGGCGTATGGAGAGCATTGGCTCAACTCCAGCACTGCGAGGGGTCACTGCATACGGGCTGTGAGGGGCGCCGTGGGCGCAGGGAGGGAGACGCCAGCTCACTATTCGGTTGAGAACAGGCTCGGTCTATTTGACATCGGCCGAAGGCCCCATCTCGCCTCTCAGCAGTCATCCCCGTCATCACATACATGTCAGGCCCACGGCAACTGACTACCAGGTGGTTATAGCTTCAGATGCTTACTTTCATTTGTCCCCTTTTAAAAATAATTTATTACCCTGACGCTGCGTCTGGTCTTACAGGTAGGAATGAAGTGGGAGCCTTCATAGTTCTCGCTTGCAAGGGATGGCAGAATTTCACTTCAGGGAGCAATTTTGCTAAAGGAGATGATGGTTCAGGCCTGGAAAATGGGGAAGAAAATTAAGAAGTTGAAAGAGGCACTCAGTTTGACCTTCGGGGCCCGCGTTCTCTCCGTCAGAAAAAGGACGCAGTAAAATGCTCGCTACTTACTGCCGGGGCCTGCGAATGAGGGCTCAGAAGTTCCTCAGTGGAAAACATCTTAGAGCTGCTAAATGGATTCGCTGAAACGCCAGCTTCTAAGAAAGGCATTTTGAAAAGACTTGTGCAGCATGAAAATTGCCAGGTAAATTGAAGAGAAATGTTTCTTAAAGTCACAAACTTCACTTGTAATTTAGCTCATCAAGAAATTCTCAGTCCCATTCTCTGGTGCTTTTCCCTTTATTTGCAGCGTGAAACCAGGGAGATTTGGTGCCCTCGGTAATTGGGGGACCGCCAGTCCTCCAGAGAGAGGGCGTCACAGGGGCCTCAAAGCAGCAGGGTACCCGCACCTATCACTCCCACGTGCTAGCACTAGGACATGTAGCTATATACTATATGCTACATACTACCTATAATAATAAAAGCGTAATATGCTAATTAGACCAGACGTCCTTCCAGACGAAGCCGGGGCTGCGAGGGCAGCCCGGGGAAGGGAGGCCTACTCTTGCATGAATTTCGTGCATCGGGCCTCTAGTATACTATAACTATATACTAGTTATTAGAATTAGAAATTATTATCTTATGGCCCAGCATAGAAACCAGCGACCTCTTGGGGCCTGGGACGACGCTCAATCCACTGAGCCACACCGGCCAGGCCCCAATAAGATTTTAAGTCTGTTTGGGTAATTCTGAGCAGGCTGCATGCCACGTATTATGCAAGGCAAGTGATCGTTCACCTATTGTCCGATTCTACCTTGAAGCGAGTGTTTCTCGAAGGACATGCTACCCCCATCACCTCGAGTTGCTGTCATTTCTAGGCTACGTCCCATGGAAATTTATCACTTACACATCAAAGTCCCAAAGACGCAACTCCCTCCATCACGCCGATGGCGCGGTGATAAGTATTTCATGAGCATCGCGTGGGCAGGGCCGATCTCCATTTTCATGAGTGAGAATTTGTTCAGCTCCGTCTCCAGGTTTTACTATTCATGGGGCAGTGTGCCCTGTCGCGCGTGCCACACGCTGCCGCATTCATCGTTCTGCTTCATGAGGAAATGACTGTCCTGAAAAAGAGAACAAGCACAGCCAGAAGAACTGTTTCTTTGTTAAAATGATTAGTTCTGCTGCCCGGAGACAATAACAATCACCAGAAATCACCGCGTCGCAGCGTCTTGGCCCACAGACGCATAAGGTCTGGAAGGACGCGAGATGACGGGCTGAGACGCATTAGGCCCACGTGAAAAGGTCCTTTCTAAAGGTTAGACCATTCGAAATCTCATCTTAAAAGACTCGGAAAGGTTAAAATGCAAAGAGCAGCTTTCTTACATATACAAAGATTAATTGCAAAGGGTGTGCTTGCCTACTGTTTCATCGTTGAAATACACGACTATGTTTCTTTCTGGCTTTTTCTTTTATTCAAAAACCACATTTCCACTTGCTAAGATAATATTCCCACGTTCAATAATGAATTGCTTTTGCATATCTTAAGGTGATCTATCAGAGTGCACTCTACCTGTCAGAATACATTTTGCACTAAAAGTAATGGGTGGGGAGGACTGTTGTCTGGGTGGGAATCAAAGAGCGTGACTACATCGAAGCTGTTTTCCCGGATCGCCCTCTAAATGACAGGTGATCACCCTCTAAGTGACACTCGTCCGTGAGACCGCAGGCGCCACGGAACCCCCGGGGATGGGCCGGGAGCACGGGCGTGCGTTGATTCCACTGGCGCTGCTGTGGTCAGTTCTTTCCGGGGGTGCGTGTTGCGAGGCGCTGCTCGGATCGTGGGGATGTTTGCAGGAGCCAAGGTTCCTGATGAGCTCGTGTGCAGCCTGTGTCAGCACCTGCTCGCATCCTCAGAGATGGACTGGGGGTCACAGGTCTTCTCCTGACTGAGCCCCCTGAGAACAGAGTGAGCCCTGGCCCGGGTGGCTCCGTGGGTAGCGCGTCGGTCCCGGGTTCGATTCCGGTCAAGGGCACGTACCTTGGTTGAAGCTCTTCCTCAGCCCAGGCCCTGGTCGGGGCACGTGCAGGAGTCAACCAATCGACGTGTCCCTCTCACATCGATGTTTCTCTCTGTCTTTCCTCTCTCTCCCACTCTCTCTAAAAAAAAATCAATGGAAAAATATCCTCTGGTGAGGATTACATAGTAATAATAATAATAACAAGAAAGCAACCGGTTTCAGGTCCCATAGCGTTCCCCCGGGAGGCCCCAGTTTACATACTCCCTGCTGGACTGCAGCCAGGGAGGCCACTGGAAATTCTGGGGTGTCGCAAACTCTCCCCCGGAAGTTTAGTTTGATTCCTGCTACGTCGTGGGTGGCACGTCCTTCCGCCGGGTGCTGCGTAGTTTTGGGTCCGAATGCCCTGTTGAGGGTAACCTCTGTGCTTTGAACTCTCCGTTCATGTCAAGCGGGGGCACCCCCCCCACCCCCGTGCATCCAGGTGTCATCCTGAGAAATGCCGCGGAGCTCAGCGCCGGTGGGGTGTCCGCACGCCTCCAGCGCGGCGGGGGCTGGGACACGGCGGTGACAGCGCGGCTCTTTAATCACGGTCTGTATTTCGCTCACCTGTCTGCCAGGACCCGGAGCTGGTGCGGAACATCTGCCGCTGGGTTCGGCAAGCGATTCGCATCCCATTTTTTGCCAAATTGACTCCCAACGTCACGGACATCGTCAGCATCGCGAGAGCTGCCAAGGAAGGTAAGGCTTCTAGACCCTCACCGATGGCCCAGGTGTGCACTCGCGCCTGAAGGATGGAGTCACACACAGTTTATCTCTGGCCACGAATGTACGTGTGTGTCTTGGTTTAGAGCAGCGGTTCTCAACCTGTGGGTCGCGACCTCTTTGGCGGTAGGACGACCCTTTCACGGGGGTCGCCTAAGACCATCCTGCATATCAGATATTTACATGACGATTCATAACAGTAGCAACATTACAGTGATGAAGTAGCAACGAAAATAATTTTATGGTTGGGTCACAACATGAGGAACTGTATTTAAAGGGCCAGAAGGTTGAGAACCACTGCTCTA